GGTGGGGGGTGGGAGCTTCCTGCTGCTTCCTTACCCCTCACAATTGTTTCTGCCCCCCCATGTATCATGCAGCCTTCTCTTGAGTGTCTCCTCTGTCCCCCACTGACATGTCACGTGCATGAGGGCAGAAGGTTTGTCTGTTTTGTTCATGGATATGTCCCTATCACCTAGGCAAGTGTCTGGCCACGGCAGATGCTCTGTAAACATTTTTTGAGCAAATGACTGCACAGATTTGATTGGCCATAGAGTAAGGGAATCACTGAGGATGGCTGCATCTCAGGCACGGCCACCTGGGCTCGTGGAGCTGGTGACTGACAGAGGAAACCTGGAGGAAGCATCAGGTTGGAGGGAGGCAGGGGTGGACAGGAGTCCAAAAGCCGCGGGGGTGGGTGTGGGCCTGCTGCTGGGGAAGGGGTCTGCTGGGGACGGTGAGTCAGGAACCGCCAGCGGCTGGGATGATGATGGAATGGAGGGCAGATGGTTCAGGTGAGGATACGGAGAACAGCCTCATGTAAGAAAGAGGACCCACACGCGGGAGTCAGAAGGCGCTGTCGGGAGACAATTGGAGCCGTCAAATACGGAGAGCTAGCATGTGTTGAGTGCCTACTGTATGCCAGCTACCGTCGTGCGTGCTTTCAACTGTAGGAATTCACTGAATCCCCGCGGCGACCCCTCCCCATGTGGTGGGCTCTGTGTTCTATTGCAATTTTGTTAACCTTTGGAGAAACTGAGGGGGCAGGGAGCTGAAGTGGCTGCTTGAGATCAGGGATGAGTCTCAGGCTCAGAGCTGGGACTGGATCAGGTCTGTCTCGTTCCCACATCCGTACCCTGTTCTGCACCCGTCGCCTCATCATGAGGGTGGCGGCGTGCTGCGGGGTCGTGACACATGGGAAGCTGGGGTGTCTGACACGGGGCTGCCGGCCCCCTCGCCGCATGGCATTTTGGGTCTCCTGAAGCCTCTTACCCCTGCTCCAGGAGGGAGGACAGCGGGGGGGCGGGGTCACTCACCCTGGCACTCCCGTGTGTGCTGGTGGGCCGAGGTGCCCGGCGGGCAGGTGGGCAGACACTTCCCCTTGTGCAGGTAAAAGCACCTCTTGCACCGGATGCAGAAGTCCTGGCTGAAGCAGCTCTCGCAAGTGGCTCCACACCCTGTAACAGAGCCAGAGGCCCCTGGGTGAGGGCGGCTGCCAAGGGGGCCTCTGGGCCTGTCTGAAGCCGGGGGCCTTGGGCATCCCCAGGCCTGGAGCACTGGGGATCTGGACTCAGTGTCAGAGCCGTGGCCAAGCCCGGACTCGGCCAAGGTCAAACTGGGTTGCGCGTGAGGAAAACTCCCCTTCTCATCTGAGCAGAAGCTCAGAGAAAGCGAGTCATACAGCAAATCTGGGCTTGAAGTCATACAGCAAATCTGGGCTTAGAGTGTTCCTTTTCCATCAAGACGCAGAGAGAGTGATGACCTGTCCCGGGTCACAGCCAAAAATTAGAGTTAGGAGTCGAGATTCTTTTTCCTATTTGAGCTAGGACCAGAGAAGGTGGGTTACATGCCCAAGGCCACACAGCAAACTGGGGCAGAAGCGAAGGTTCCTTGTTCTGGGAGAGCCGATCAAGGCTTCGAGGGGACTGGCTGGCCCTGGGCTGCCCCCGAGTCTGCTCCCCCTCCGGCTCCCTACCCAGGCTGTGCTGGGGTGGGAGGGTGGCCTCTGGCCTGGCAGCATCCAGGACCCCTGGGCTGGCCCGGGACAGGGGAGGAGCCACGTACTTTTGCACCTGTTGACCTCCTGGCCGCGGATGCCAAAGTAGCCAGGGGGACAGTCGTGCACGCACTTGCCAAACTGGCGGATGCCCTCCCGGCGGATGAGCAGGAAGAGCCTCTGCTGGCAGGTGGAACAGCCGTTCTCCTCTGAGCAGATGACGCAGCCCGTGCAGTTGCCCCCCAGGCCGGTGCCCACTGCAGCCAGACCAGGTCGGGAGGGAAAGAGGAGAGAGAGAGAGATGGTCAGACCCGAGCCCTGCAATAGTGACTGGCGCACGGCCACCCAGAGGCGACACTTTCTGGCTTTCCTTACAGCCAGATGCGGTCATGTGACCCAGCACTAGCCAATGGGAGGTAAGATACAGACATGATGGCTGGAGAACAAGCCGTCATTCTGGATCATGAGTTGGAACCTGTGTCCTGTGAGGTGGTGGAGAAATAAGATGAATGGAGCCTGGGTCCCTGAGGAGGCAGAACTGCTGGACCAACTCTTGCCTGCCTGTGTAAACTGTTCCATGAGAGAGAAATCGGCATTTATTTGGCTTGCACCACCATTGCTTGGAATTTTCTGTTAATCGCGGGGCAAACTTAACCTTGACTGCAGTAGGATGCATTTTTTTAGTGTGTGTGGGAACACATGCATGAGGGGTAGGGCGAGACGTCACCCTTGGCTGGGTTTCTGACCAATACTCCGTTCCTCACTGTCATCACCATCAAGGGCTCCCACCTCCTCAAGGACCATCAGAACAGTGATAATACCGAGAGCTAGCATGTACTGAGCGCCTGCTGTGTGCCAGTTACTGTGTACATGCATGTTGAGGAAGGATCTTTTTTTTCCCCCCAGAGTTGGCAGCCAGGAGCAAAACCTGAAGAAAAACCTCAAGAGAGCATCCTAGGGCTCACAGGGAGAGTCCGCCCTGGCTGTCACCTCAGGGTCCTGATGAAGCTGACCACCCAGAGGGAGGGAGGAGGAGTTGGAACTGGCAGCCTGGGGACGGGGCGGATAGTTCCAACCCCCTGGACCATGTGAGCAGATGCCAGGGAGCCTCACAAGATGGGGGCGCCTCCAAGATGGTGCCTGTGTCTCCTGCCCCAGTGGGACCTGCGCTTGTGTGCACGGCCCTGCACCGGCCCCCTTCCCGTTCCTCTGTGAGCGGAGAGAGGAGGCCGGGAGAGAGGAGGAGAGTGAAGCTGAGTGGGAGCGGGACTGGGAGGAAAGCCCACCCGGCCCCCATGGCAGGGGCGGTCCTCGGGGGAAGGGCGCCTCAGAAGCAGCCCAGCAGACCTCGCCCAAGAATGCGCAGTACGAAGGCCAAGAAGTAAGGGAGAGTCAAAAAGCACCCAGGAGCCACCACGGGGCTGGAAAGGACAGGACAGCTTCTTAGAGGTGTCGACTGGGGACACAGTAAGCAGTTTCGTATTTCTGTATCACCAAGATCGGACTGTTCAAGCAACAGTGCACAGCTCGGCTTGCTCGAGCCCTGCAACCACCCAGCAGCAACATGCTGGCTCTCCGGCTTCCAGACCCTCCCCCGTCCCTATAGACTCCTCTTCGTGGAGTTCCCCATTGTGTGGGGTCCTGGAGGGGATCTGTGCCTTCCTGTGTCTTCCACCTGGAACAGAAGTCAATAAGCACAGCGGCCCCTATTCAAGTCGGCAGTGCACGGGCCCTGACCAAAGGCTGGCCAGACATTTGCCCTGTGACTCCAAGGCCCAGGAAGGGGAAAAAAGAGCGAAGGACAGACAGGAGTGGGGTCCACAGGGGAGGCAGAGCAGGCTGTCTGCCCAGGCATGGCCGGGCCCTGTCTTTCCCTTGCATCCACCCATCCCTCCGTCCTCCCTCCTCTCATCCACTCTCGGATGAGTCCTCCATGTCCCTGACCTCGTCTTTAGTTCCTGGGATTCTGGGAACCCACACTCTGCAGACAATCCTCTTTCTGTTGTTTACAGCTGCGGAGCCCAGCTGACCAGGCAGGCTCATTTGAAGGTGCTCGGTGACCTCGCGCACCCTTTGACCCTGCCCCTGGCAAGGGGCAGTGCCCTGAATTCTCTTGACCTGGGCAGAGAAACCGCAACTAGAGAGCAGAGTAAAGGTTTCGGTGCTTCTGAAGCTTCAGCAGTCTTCCAAAGCTATGTACCATGGGCAGAGAGAAAGTGCGCGTTTTAAGAGCATGTCCCAAGGTCAGAGAGACTGTTACCTGAGAATTCGGCAGAGCCTAGATTTTTCATCCACTTGACAAAAAAATGTAAATTTGGATGTGACCAAGGACTGGCAAGGATGACAGGAAACATTCGCTTCTAACACAGCAGCATCTAGTAAATGTGAGGATGTTCCTTTTATTTTTTTCTTTTATTTTGGACAGAGTCTTACTCTGTCATCCAGGCTGGAGTGCAGTGGTGTGATCATAGCTCATTGCAGCCTCCAGCGATCCTCCCCACTCAGCCTCCCAAGTAGCTCGGACTGTAGAGGTGCATGCCACCATGTCTGGCTAATTTTATTTTACTTTTTGTAGAGACATATTGCCCAGGCTGGTCTCGAACTCTTGGGTTCAAGCGGTCCTCCCACCTTAACTTCCCAAAGTGCTGGGATTACAGGTGTGAGCCACTGCCTGGCTGAGGATGCCCCTTTCTTAAATGTAGCAATTTGGCTTCTGGTATAAACCTCAAAGCAGCAGTTCTCAAACTCTAGTATAAGACAGCAACTCCCAGAGGGCCCGTGACAGTGCGGGTCTCTGAGTTCCACCCTGAGAGTATGATCCAGCAGGTCCAGGAATCTGCATTTCTAGCAGGTCCCGGGTGATGTGATGCCTCTGGTCCAGGGCTCATACTTTGAGAACCACAGACCTAGAAGAACTCCCGTATATGTGCTTGAAGAGACCAAGGTGTTCACAGCAGAAATATTTAATAGCAAACAATTGCAAAAGTCAGCCCTCTGTCGAAAGAATGGTAAATACACTGTGGTACAGTCACACGCCACAGCCGGATGACACACACACACAACCCTGTCTGATAACGGCCGGGGTAGAGTTGCATTTCTCATCGTGGACACAGCTCAAAGACATCGCTGAGATGAAAAATCGAGGCGCACAAGGAGTCAGACGGTGAGGGCAATTTTAATTTCAAAAGCCCGCAAAACAACGAGCCTCTGTGGCATTTATGACATGTATGTGTGTATTAAAAGACCGGAGAAACTCATAGTACTGAACTCAGCATGGTGGTGCTCAGATGTTTGTTACATTATTTTCAATTCTTGACCGTAGGCTTGAAATAGTTCACACAAAAAATGCATTTAAATAGAAAAGGAGTCCAGCCTCCCCTGGGTCTGGGGCAAGTGGGGGTGACTACACTCTTTCTCCCTCCCAAGTCCTGTCCCATCCTCAAGCAGAGATCTTGGGCAGGGGAGGTGACACGTTCTTGAGGTGTGGGATAGGGTTTTGAGAGCAGTGGAGATGTGTGCACCTGAGTGTTGGGCTGGTCATCCCTATGTCCCTTCTCCCCTCATTCTCAGTCACGAAACCTTAATTTCAAGCAGAATTTGTGCCTTCTAAAGAAGACTGCATGCCTCAGGCTCCTTGCAGCTCTGTGTGGTCGTGTGATCCAGCTCTGGCCCGTGGGGTGTAAACAGGAGTGTCTGGGGTAGCACCCAGTAAGTGCCCTGGCTTCTCTCCTTCCCTCCCCACTTCTGCCTGTGGGATTCTAGACTTGACGGCAGAACCAGGTGGCAGAGGTCTCACAGAAGGACACCACGGTGAGCCTTACTAACCAGGACTGCCCACTGCCCCTTCTTTCATGGGAAAGGGAGGGCACGTCGTCCATCCTATCTAGGTCACGAGACCTTTCTGACGCATGATACAGCCATGCAGGTTAGTGCAGCGTGAGGGTCATGGAGACCAGGGCTCCTCGCTGCCTTGGTGCTATGAAAGCCCACCAGGCTGAGATGTGGCCCACTAACAAGGGGCAAGGGAACCCTCGACTGGCTTGAACAGAAGTGCACATGGCAAATTACATCAATTATAAGAAAACAAAATAGCATTTCCTGCAAACAGAAATTTGCAGATGGAGACTCATTCCCTGGCACAGGGAGTGTGGCCCGTTTTGCAGTTGAGAAAACCAAGGCTCAGGGAGCCGTGGTGAGGTGTCCAAGGTCACACAGAGATGGCGGGGGCAGACCCACGGCAGGCAGGCTGCCCCATGCTCATTTGTCCGGGGCCTTCTGTGTCAGGCAGAGCTCAGGGCCACAGGAGATCCCTGTCCTCACAGGTCCCACTGACAGCTGGAAGGGACCGAAGCCCTCAGGGCGAGAAGAAGGATCTGAGATGGAGACAGAAAAACTCTTACTGCTCTCAGAAGGGGAACTTTCTCAGTGCCACTGGGGACCCTGAGGCCAGAAGGAGTCTTCCGCTAGGACAGGTACCAAACTGCAAAGAGGCCCCAGGCTGAGCTGCAGGGCTGTTTGTAGAAGGCTGGCTGTCTCCACATGCTGATGGAAAAAGACCCAGGCGAGGGCCCTGACCTCGGGGAGTGTTGGCCACAGCCAGATCTCAGTATCCTCCACCCTAGTTCTTTGCATCTTCTGCCGCATCCCTGGCCCTCGCCGTTGGCTGGGGCGCCCTCTCGTGCCTCTCTTTTGTAATGGCACCTCTGGCTGTCTGAATTTTCGTGGTCTGTCTGGCGTTTCCTCACGACCTTCCTTAACTCATCAGAAAGAGAAATGCTACCCTCCCTGCCCCATCCCCAAGGTCACAGGAATAGGGACTCGAATGTTCACAGCAGAAATCATCAGTGGTGACAACTGGAGTTTGTCATCAAGTTTAAGAACTGGATGGTTCTTAAACTTGGCTGTGCATGAGAATCCCCAGGGAGGCCTATAAAGTGTCTGGTTTGGGCCCAGGAACCTGCATTTTAACAAGTCCAGAATCAATGTAGTCTGCATTTTGAAAGTGTCCTCCCTGCTCACAATCTGCTTTCCCTGAGAACTGGCCCCAGCCATCAAGTCTGCACTCCACAGCCCTGACCCTGGCCAGGGGCCCAGCTTATACAGGCTGGGCCAGCCAGACTGCCTCTTTCTGGACTGACACACCATGGTCTGGGCTGGCGGGCTGACCTCAGGACATTTGCAGGCAGGGAGAGCAGCGTGTTCTGGTGTCTGTGTGGGAGATCCCTGGTGGGCTCCAGCCAACAGAGTCCACACCCCT